CAGGAGAAAATAACTGAAAACTCAAAAAAAATACTGTGCTTTTAAGATTTCGGATTCAATTTCAAGTTGTAGGGTTGGATTTAGCATTAGTTAGCTTAAAATTTGATTGCTGAAGTTTGTTAAAGGGTTCTGAAGTGATTTCAAGTAGAAACCGGTTCATTTGGTCGATTTTTGGGTCTGTCTGCTGGTACTTCATTGCTGGGATTTCAAAAAAAATTCAAAGTGACTGCTGTGATTGTTCTGAAGCTGTAAATTTGCTAGTTGACCCTGCTAACTGTTTGTTCTGCCGCTGATCCTCCTCTCTTCCTGTTTAATTTCAATTGCCAGGTACATACTTTCGAATTCACATGATGTAGCTTGAATTGAAGTTGGAATACAAGTGTTCATCAGATCTGCAGTTGTTGGATACTTCCTGTTGTTTGTAGTTAATTAGATGCGAGTGAATGTTAACTATTTGATTTGTACTACCTGAACAATGTATACACGAACTGTATAATTGGACTTTAATACTAGTTTTGATTATAGGCCATGTGAGGTCGTGAACTGGTAATGGATAGCTGCATAAATTAGGATTATTGGACTGCTTTGAACTATCTCAACACGTCTGTATGTAGACTTAGTTAGTGTAGCCTAAGATTACAGCACTTGAATCACAAAAGCATGAAAGATCACACTTCATCTGTAGGTAGTTAGTTCGCGTTCCTGTCTTTAAATAATTCGAGTTATATGATCATCCTGGAATGATTTTAAATGTTGAATTAGCAAAAATGGAGTTTCTATAAGTACGGCCTTATCAGGTGTTAAATTCGATCCCTGGCCTTTGACTAAACAGTAGATTTCTCCCAGCTTTCGTACTAATTAATAGCTTAATAAAAGAATCGGATGTTGTGTGTGATTTGAATGCCAATTGCCAAGATCAAGTGTCCATGTGTTATTAACTACATGTCATTTATCTACTCGTTATTAGTAAGTGTAGATTTAAAAGCTGAAAGGTTAATTAACAAGTGTTAAACCTGGAATAAATGACCAGATTATTAAACGCATATGTTTGTTTAAATGTGAAAGTGATGCCTAGTGACAATGAGCCAATATTCGTTCGACTCTTTGAACCATGAAGGAAATGGGCCAGCATCGGCCCAGCTAAATGCTATAGATCCTGGGCAGTCCACTAAGTACAAGATGTTTTTGTTTTAAAATTTTGGGCTTGCACCCTAGCCCAGCCCTTTGGATGGTCTCTGTTTGAGCAGACCTGGGCCAAACCTTTAAGGCCCAAATATGCTAGAAGTCAAGAAACCTTCAAAATTATATTAGGAATAGGGGGATTAATTTGTAATATAAATCTGGGCTTTCGAGTTAGGTGGCGGATTCGAATTAGGAGGTTCTCCCCTCTTGTTTGAATCCGGACTTGAATTTGAGATCCGGACTTTATAATGCAAATTAATTAGACCCTTTAGAGACAAAACAATAAATAGAAAATCGTAGTTTGCTCTAAGATGGCCTTTAAATAATAAGATGAGATGAGCCTCGCCAAACAAAATGCATGAATTGCGGGGCCCTCATTAAATGCTTATACTAAAATCTTTAGAAATTCGGGACGTGCCATTTAGCGAATTTTCATGGCCTCCCGCAAAGTTAACAAGACGCTAGCCACTTTAGGCGCGCTTTTTAATAATTTTACCTTCTTAACTACGGGTGTGCATTTCATGCGACCCAAATCCAAATCCCAAAACGTTGAATAAGAGGTGTCAAGGATCCGGGTGCATTTCATGTGACGTGATCCAAAAACACGCTCTTAAACGACGTTCACTTTCATAAAAACTAATTAAAAGCGGTTAAACAATTCTAAAATTGCAATAGGATAACATGTATTAAAATCAGACTTTAGCCAAATATGACAGTTGAGCGACCGTGCTAGAACCATGGAACTCGGGAATGCCTAACACCTTCTCCCGGGTTAACAGAATTCCTTACCCGGATTTCTGGTTCGCGGCTGTTAAACAGAGTCAAACCCTTTCCTCGATTCGGGATTCAAACCGGTGACTTGGGACACCATAAATCTCCCAAGTGGCGACTCTGAACTTCTTAATAAACGAATCCCGTTTCGATTGTCCTTTAATTGGAAAAACTCCCTTTTATTATATACCCTTCACGGGGTGTAGTAGTTGAAAAAAGGGAGGTGTGACACTAGTCACTATTAATTCCATACAGTCAACACAAATTATAGGAATCAATTTCGTATGAAAATACTAAATTTCCCAATCAAATCCGAAAAGTCAACCAAAAGTCAACTATGGGTCCCACCCCTTGGAACCCGATAAAAGTTACAAAATATGAACGTCCATTCAACCACGAGTCTAACAATACCAAATTTACCAAATTCTGACATCAACTCGACTTTCAAATCCTCAAATCTTATGTTCAAATCCCTAGGCTCAAATTCTCAAAATCATGTAATCTAGTCGGAGTATTCGATGATAATTCAATATTATTGACTAAAGATGATCACAAATGACTTACCTCAAGATTTTCTCGTGAGTTCCCTCTGAAAAATCGCCCCCAACCGAGTGCTTGAAGTCCAAAAATGATGAAATGAGCTAAAAAAAAATAAATTTCTCAATAAAAACACTAATCTGGTCGCTAAAAGTCCATTTTCCATCATTAAAAGTCCATTTCCCGTCACTAAAGGTCCACACCAGAACCTGGTTGCACCAGCAATTTATTATTTACTAAAAGGCTCTAACTCCATCATACGAATTCGGAATTCGACGATTCTGGTTCCTATGAGTCACAAATAATAATACGAACCTAGTCGTTCAATCGAAACTCAATTCGGATCTCATTTGCTCAATGCGATACCAATTTCGCTCGTTAAATAATTAACTCATGTTTCGCGCTAAAAACCCAATCGCGAGTTGATGAAGTTAGACCAAACATTCCAGATCATTCCTATAATTCATTACCAAACTCCCGGAAGTCTTAAAATCGAATTTCAATCTCTAAAACTAAAAATGAACCTTTGGATCATTACATGCTTATGCTCAAAACACCAAACTCTTCCAAAAACTCTTTCAAAACTCATTCGAGCCCCATGTGACCCCAGCCAAGTATACTAACAAGTCCCATAACATGACACGAACATAGTTAATGCCTCAAATTATATTAAACAATACTAAAACACAAATCGCACCCTAATTCAAGCTTAATGAAAACTAACGAATTCCAAATTCTACATGCGATGCCGAAACCTATCAAATCAAGTCCGATTGACCTCAAGTTTTGCAAACAATTTATAAATGACATAACAGACCTATCAAAATTTCCAGAACTGGATTCCGACCCCGATATCAATAAAGTCAACTCCTGGTCAAACTTTTCAAAATCTTCCATTTTTCCAACTTTCGCCAATTCATGCAGAAACGACATGCGGACCTCCAAACCAACATACGCCTAAGTCCAAAATCACCATACAAAGGTATTGAAATCATCAAAACTCCATTCCAGAGTCGTTTGCACAAAAGTCAAATTCCGGTCAACTCTTTTCATTTAAGTTTCTAAAACAAGAATTGGTCTTTTAATTATCCCGAGTCATCCAAAAACCAAACTCGGCCACACACGCAAGTCATAATACATATTACAAAGCTGCTCGAGACCTTACGCCATCAAACGGGACGCTAATTCGCAAAACGACTTGCACCTTCCGACGAATATGATCATTTTTAATCTTATCTAATCTTGTGTGAAACACATCCATCTTAGCATTCACATTTTCGCAATACTATCTTGTAGATATGTTGAGCTTTAACAGTTCAATATTCACTCATATAACATAGCCGGTCTTATAGCTATTTTATAGAACTTACCTTTCACCTGGGTAGGGATCCTTCTATCACATAACACCCCGATAGCACTTCTTCATTTCAGTCATTTGATTTTAATCCTATAAGTAACATCTTTATCTATTATTATTATTGTTCTCTTAAATTTCATCTAGTCTCACCTCAATTTCGCTCTGCACGTGCCGACTAAACTCGCAGTGCATGTATTCACTCTTACTTCTACTTATCTTAAATCCCTTATTTTCCCATATGTTTCTCCATAACTCAAGCTTTCATGACATCCTCGCTAACTTCATTAATTAACACAATTTCATCAATAAATAGCATACACCATGGGACTTTTGTATCCACTACTACTGTTTTCACGCTAATGACAACTCCTTCATACATGTTCTTTATGGCAATTATATATCTAATACGAATTCATTTCTTCTCCATCACCCACCAAAGGACCTTCCATGGTACTCTATCATATGCTTTCTCTAGATCAGTGAACATCATGTGTAGATCTTTCTCTTTTTCGCAATAAATTTCATGACACCTGTATCAGCTTAATTCTACGCATATAGCTAAAGTTTCTGTTGTACACTGATATTTGGAGATTTCACAATTACCGTCAAAAGGAAAATGAATGAAGAGTAATGTGTTAAAGGGCAAAATAAAGGAGTATTGTTTTTCTAAAATCACCTGTTAAATGGCTAGATGTACCTAAAGAACTTGTTAAATCACAGGGTAGGAAACGTTTATAGTTGAAAGTTTGACGGACAATTCTATCAAGTTTTTAAAAGTTAGAGGGAGAAATTAAATTTTCACTTATCAATTTCTCATTCTCTTTTCCGTCAATTTCCCATTCTTATCTTTCTTCTTTCTTGCATATACTCATATCAACATAAATGAAATATTTATTACTAAGAATTTAAATTAAAAAATTAACAACTTATAGATTTATACAAAACAGTATAATCTCAGTGTTAATGTCAAAAGCTAATAATAAAATCAAAATTTCAAAAAATCTTTTACAACATTCACATGGAGTATCACATATAAAATCCAACTCCATTCTGCATAATCTAAAGCAATTAAAATTAATATCTGATGTTCGTTGGCATAAAAAGGTTTTTTGCTATCTTATTATTTTCCCACCTTAGGTATGCGACTGCAATGAGAATGAGAAACAATAAATAACAATATCTAACACAAGATTACCCTGAAATAGGATGTTGCACCAGACATCAACAGCAGTATATTGAGAATTTTGTTAAAAAGAATAAAAGAAAAAGGAAAAGGAAAAAGAGTGGATAAAAGAAAAGCAGGAACTATTCTCAGGTGCTCACCAAAGGAGCTCCTAGTTTGCTTTTCAATGCACAATTTCAGACCACAGCAAGATTAAAATTTGCAACTATGCTATTTGAGCACCAAGTAGCTTGGAAAAGGAATGTTAAAAAAACTCCATGCAGCCATGGGAAAATAAGCAGCAGCCTCAAAGTGTTCCTTTAGTCTAAAATAGCAAACACTTGAAAATTTCACCATCTAGACCCTGTCAATTGAAAAAAGGAAAGCTCGGTCAAGAAGAGCGAACAGAGACAAGGAAAGAGTAAAATATGTACGAAAAATTAGTCATGGCAGCACAAGAAGAATCAAATACTAGAAGCAGAGAAAATCGAGAAAAATCAGTTAGAATCGCCTTCAAGCGACAAGAAGCAACTACTAGGTGAAAACATCATAGGGGAATAATGCATCAAGTAAAAGCAAACGGATGCTAACTTAAATAGAGATACACAAACATCTTCTGTACAAAAATGTTTAGCAAAAAGAAATGTCGTTGATGTGAGGAACTACAAGAAAGGGATATTGCCTACATAATACTGAGTTACTTACGAATTATTTGGGAATAAAATATAGTTTGAGATATCGAGCACAAGTATCAAATATCAACCCTGGAACCAAGAGGGTTAGTACAGAGTCTCATGACCACAAAAAATATCTTATGAAGGATCGCTATGAATACTAGAAGTCTATTAAGATATGACTTTGTATAATAGTTACTAATAGTATCTATAGGTTTTCTTCAAAGGTTTGGTTCAAAAATATTCCCTTCTCTCCTCCCTCCCCTTCTCAGAAGTCATTTCTAGATCCATCCTGCTCTTACATTAAAGGGTTAGAATAAAATAAGTAAATAAAATCAAAGCACAGTTTCACATTTTGAAGCTCTTAAAACACCATAGAATCTTGTTAGCTTCTTTCCACTTCACGAACTGTGTACAAGTTATTTTCTCCGGTGTTGCTTACTATAATGAGTCAGTGAACAAAGAGACCTGCTATTTGGACTAATTCTTGGGCATCTCAGGCTTTCTGGTAAGTAGACTATGTGTGTTGTGCATTTTCATGTTCATAGAGGGAGACTTCCTATGCCACTGTGAGGCAATATTGTCAATTTCTTGTATGATGCACATTTTGTAAGGAAAGGAGATACAGCACCCTAATATAGTGATAACAAAGGCTTCTTGCAGGAAGCATGACATTTGAGACATTGAAAAAGGTACTTTATTCAACGAGAAGAGAGAATATAGAGCATGCTAAGTCCCTCTGGCTTCGAATCGTAAGAGCACATTACTATTGTACTCCGTTTGAGGAAACTCACCCGAGCCCCTCGGACTCCAAACCAAACATGCACACAAGTGTAATAACATCATACGAACTTGCTCGCGCAATCAAATCACCAAAATAATCCTGATAAGAGCTATCTGTTATTGCTATCCTTGTATATCATATTCAGAGCATTACTTTAGCACAGTTCGAAGGTTAACAGAGCATGTCAAACGAACAAAGTGCTGCACAACATAGTTATATTCCTCCTCAGCCAAGTCCTGCTGACGTAGCGCCCATAGGATGGCACCTTAAAGCGTCACCTAATAAGCAGAGGATAACATGCAATGTAGCTAGTTGTTCATATTCACATCAAATGTATTAAATTGCTCTATAGTATGCTAATAGCCTCAACTCCTAATTCTGGTTCTTGGAGAAAATTGGCATAAGATAACAGTCTTCCCTCATTACAATTAACAACAAACATAACGTTCAAACTGAACTAAAAATGCTGAACTTTTTTGAAAAACAGGTTGATTTTATTTATAATGTTGAATCCTCTACTCCCAAAAGAAGCACAAGAATTTGACAGATAGAGTTTCCATAATATTCCCCCGCTTCGGAAGACAGTTCAGTTAATTCACTATCCATCTAATTCTTTTATCTATTTTTTTTTGTGTGTGTTAACGCTCACATCTTAGAACAGTTTAACACTAAAGATCTCAACACATGAAACATGATCCCTTACAATTTGGAAATCAACGAGTCTTGTTATTAGCTTCGAAAGAAAAGCTACTGATGTAGGAAAAGTCAAATTTATCTAAGAGCTGATGTAGGAAAAGTCAAATTTATCTAAGAGTTTGACGGGGATGTAGATTATTTGTGATGCCGTATCCTCCTAATTAAATACATATTTGCTTTTTAGAACAAGTATAAACATAATAAATTCCTGATGTTCATGCAAAAGCTAGACACGATAATTCAACTTGAGTATCTCTAATGCAGTATTCAAATAAAACACCATCTAAACAAGAAAATAGGAGCATAGATGTAAATGAACTACTTCCTTAGTTCCAAATTGTTTGGCAATATTTCCTTTGCATTATTAATATGTTTAAAAAAAAAAGACCGTCATATTTCCATATTTGAAAACAATTAACTTTAAACTTCCATTTTAACCTTATTGAGATAGTAGCTTTTATAGCTATGCAAATGTTATAGCATGTTCAAGACCGCAATTTCTAATAGTCTTCATTTCTTCTTAAAATTCGAGTCAAACTATATCAATCAAATTGGAACTGGAATAGTTAATGAGCACACCAAAATTAAAAGACGAAAGGGGTGAATCAATATAAACCTTGTAGAGCCAGCATTCAAATTCCTCCTCAGAATCCTCCCCTCGTTACCCGATTCACTCGATTCAATCAACTCTCTCAACCCCAAATTCCCATTTTTCTCCTCTACCTGAATCTCCTCTTCTTCTTCTTTTTCTTCTTCTTTCTCCTCTTCTTTCTTCTTCATAAGCTTAACATTGACTCTCTCAAAGTAATTTCCATAAATGTATTCAGGACTATACCCATTTTCCTCATCAAAAAGCATGATATGACCGTGCCACTCCCAAACCCGATAATCCGACCCGGTATCCTCATGAAACCCAATACATATATGGTGTTCACCAATAGCAACAGCTTGACCCGAATTCGGTTTTAGTGAATCAATTTTGCCAGTAAGAATTGTGCGGATTATGTGTTTTTCCACTTTAGATTCTTCTTTGGTGAGCTGCGACTTGGAAGAGGATGAGGAGTCGTTGTTGTTATCGTCGTCGGATTCTTGATCTTCGTCGGAGAAGGAGAAAGGGAGAGTGTTGAAGAGGAGATCTTCGAGGGATTGTGATGGTGGGTTTGAAGGAGGAGGGCGAATTTGGAGTCGGTTCATTAGGGATTGGAGGAGGAGGTTGTCGAAATTTGGGGTGGTGGCGTTGAAGGAATTCATGGTTGTTAATGGCGGTGGAGTGGTGGTGATTGGATTTGGAGGGTTTAGGAGAGGTTTTGGGGTTTATTTATGTATGGGAACCAAATAGGGGAAAGAGTGGAGGAAGCTAAATCCAAATTTCACTTTTATCCTACTAAAGTTTAGTAGTAAGTAATAGAAGTATTAGTAGAAATCTTAGAAAATTAACTTGAAAATATCTCATATACCTCATTTGATCTTAATTTAATTGTAAACTAGTTTTAGACGGATTTTAACACTCTATTTTCATAGCAATTGGATATAGTGTATGTGTTATAGATACTTCTTTTTCTTTCGACGACGAAAAAGAATTTCATACTCATCTCATAGATACATATAAAATTCTGCGGAAAACCGTATTCGATAAAAGTGTATGTACGGCTTGGAGGGAGATCTTTCATATCTTCCGAGATCCACCCTATAATATGGGGTAAAAAAGCCAAAATAAGTGCCTTATAAAAATAAAACTAATTCTTAAAATCCCCCTTTCACGCTCATGTCACGTTGAGGTACTGTAGAAAAAAGAAACAACAAAATCCGATCTAATTTATCTTAATCGATTAGCTAACATGTTGGTTAACCGTATTCTGAAACACAAAAAAAAATCATTGGCTTATCAAATTATCTATCGAGCCGTGAAAAAGATTCAACAAAAGACAAAAACAAATCCGCTATCCGTTTTCCGTCAAGCAATACCTGGAGTAACTCCCAATATAACAGTAAAAGCAAGACGTGTGAACCTAACTCAAAATCAAGGGAAACCCGCAATATTTGTCATTTAAAATGAAACTCTTGAATAAAGGCCAAGTTAGCTAAGCCATAAGCCACCAAATGAGCCTCCGTGTGTATATGAATGATAGAGACCACTAAGTTCATAGCCAAGAGGTGACAAACGCAGTTGACCACTAAGTTCATTTTGATGGGACGCGAACAAAAAGAAGGGACATGTCTTCTGCATCCGAGCATAACAATTAGATCCATCTTTTCCCTTCTAAATTCTCTTTTTCGAGGGAATGCACAACTTGTCTACTTGTAGAGCTAACAGTTTCCAGTGGTAAATGTAGGAGCCAAAGAATTATTGACAGCTTTATAAAACTATTCGTTTAGGAATGCACTAGTGGACTAAATAAGTTTGTGTACTGATTTGTATTCAAACGAAAGGCTCTACTATAGATAGACTTCTCAAAATATTGGGATAATAAGGTTTGCTCAATTTGTAGAGCTCATTCACCTCTAACCCAATAGGTTAAGAGTTTTGTATCATGGGATAAAAAACTATTAGTATGTGATAGGTAAATACTTACCCACACCGGGTGTTTACACCAAACTATATTAACTGATGTAAACACCCGATGCGGGTAAGTTTTTACCGTATGTGATATCCTTGAGTCTTGGTGGGTGCATATATTCCATATGTGGATGACAGATAATCGGCGCTCGATAAAATAGTCAAAGTGCGCATAAAGCGCCTGAACACCATCATTAGCGCAAAAAAAGGAGTTCTATCGTGCGAATGGGTGCATTGTCTCGTCGAGATTGTGCATATATTCCTAATATATATGATGGGATAAATGCAATCAAGAGATCCACTACTAGAAATCCGGCAAAAATCAATCACAAAAAGCGACCAAAGTTGGTCGCTTATAAGCCCAAAAGCGACCAAAAAGCGACCAAAGAGGCATGGTAGCTATATTGATGGTCCCTTTAGTTTAGGGACCAAAGTTGGTCGCTAATTAGCGACCAACTTTGGTCTCTAAGCTAAAAGGACCAGATATTCCGGATAAAGACTATAGCGACCAACTTTGGTCGCTTTATTATTTTAATAATATAATTTTGGCGACCAAAGTTGGTCTCTAAATGTAAAATACATTATTTATTTATTTATATTTTAAAATATGGAAAATAGAGACCAAGGTTGGTCGCTTTTTTATTAATTCTTTTAATTTTTTTTAAAGATAAGCGACCAAAGTTGGTCGCTAATTTCAATAATTTAATTTTTTTTAAATATAAGGGACCAAAGTTGGTCGTTATATTTTCAGAAATTGTTTCTTTAATTGGAATAGCGATCAAGGTTGGTCGCTTTTTGAGAAATCTGGGTTAAATAGCGACCAACTCTGGACGCTATTGCCTAGAAAATATTTTTTTTAAATAGAAAAGCGGACGCTTTTCTGGGTATAAATGAATTTCTGGGAAAAAAATTAATTTGCCACAAAATAATACTAGCAGTTTATAAATGCTGCAATACCTATTTCAAAATTTAAATTTTTGGGACTCAAAATAATTTTATTAAATAACTCATACAACAAAAAAACAAATTTGACATTACAAATCAAATTCATATCAAACTAAACTTTACAAACAAGTACTATATGATAACTTTAATATTAGACAATTTACAGTAGTTCCTCAACAAATAAATATACAAAAAATACATTAAAAAAGAAAAAGAGAATTCTGTTGCTCTTCGTTCTTCATCTCTCCTTCATTTTGCTTGTTCCTATTCTGCAAAAATAAAAAAATCACAATTAGTCAATAACATCATTTTCAGTCAATCGCTTAACAAATAATGTGAGAAATAATTGAAAGAAACAAAGCAAAAAAAAATTAAATAAATATCCAGATCTACATGTGTGAAGTTAGAAACTAAAACAAAGCAAAAAAAATTAAAAAGTAAAACAAAGCAAATCGCTGCAAAATCGTGAAAGCCACAATGGAAAAGGTTGGTGTGAGGTGGGTTTGTTTGCTAAAGAACTTAAAGTCAAAGGAGGTCAAAATCACTGCTCCTGTGGTTGAAGAAAGTATTGACAGAGAATCAAGGAAAAATTTTAGGAAGTTAAAGAAAAAGGGCACTAACCTGAACAACAAAACGCCGCCCAGCGATGCTCTTTCCATGGTCTCTAAGCAGTGCTTTAGCGGCAAAAAGAGAGAAGAAAAAAATAAGGGGAGATTGAGAGAGAAGGGTGACGGCGCTAGGTCTTAAGGGGGATCTGATTGTGTTCTCTAGGGTTTGGAAAGGTGAGGTTTTAAAGTGAAGGGGTGCTGGGCCGAGTATAGGAGTGGGTCTGGGGAATTTTAAGGCCATTGGGCCGTTACATCAGGCCCAATCTGCTTTGGTCGCTTTTTTTAGAAATCTGGGTAAATAGCGACCAACGTTGGTCGCTATTTTGGTAGCTAATTAAGTTTTGACTGTTTGATCAAAATAGAGA